CTTTTCAAAAATATTAAATATTACTGAGTAATAAAAAATATTTTCGAAAATTTTAAAAACAAATTATAAACAAACAGACATATGTTAGTTAGAAAATAAATCATAATTAATTCTAACAGAATGTAATTAACTCAATGATTCCATTCCATAGAACAATTATAAAAGATAATTTTGATAAGATATCAATTCTCGGATAATTTGAAAATTAACAAATATTCATTATTAAGATTATTAGTATAACTTACTTGTCAATGCTAATTTTATCATAATGAAGATGAATTCTTAATGGTTGGAAGAGATCATTATTTACGTTATTCACGTTATTTACGTTACGTATCTTTCGAACACTTCCATCACCATCATTTTTCGTATTATTTTCCATAAAATCAACATCAAGCGGTACATCAAAAATAATATCATTGACACTTGGTACCTAACAAAAAAAAAAAAAAAAAGCAAATAATAATTATAATAATAACCATTTATAATCTGAAAATACTCAGTAATATTTTAATTTAGCCTATAATCAATAGTTAATTTTTGATTAAACATTAATTACACTCTCATTAATCATAATTCTCATTTGATTAATTATAGGATTAATTAATCTAAGCTTCTAAAATAAATTCTCATTATTTCCGCTCTAATAATATTAACTAATTGCATCTTTTTTTCTCCTTAAAAATTTGAAAAAAGAAGAAAAAAAAAATTCATAATTAATATTATTATTGATAAAGTAAACAAATCTTTAAATACCTTATATGAACATAGAGCAGCATTTGTTGTTAAAATTATTGTTGAAAATATCAACCATAATAATATAATCAAATTTGGATAAATAATAATTAAAAAAGAATTAATATGAAAATTAATTTCATATTCTTCTTCTTCCTCCTTTCGACGTTGTTGCTGTTGTTGTTGTTGTTGTTTTGGTGTAGATTTATTAATTAATTGTATACAATAATCATTAAAAATATCAACCATAATAATACAACCAGTAATGATAGTAAATAATAGTAATACTTAATGTTTCTTTTGTATTATTAATTGCTACCATTTATCATTTATGGCATTAGAAATTAAACAAAAACAAAAACAAAAAGAAGAATGATAGCAATATTTAATGATTAAAAATTATTGTAGTAGCAAATAAATAATCAATTGTATTATAATAGTATTTAGGTTTATAGAAAATAATTAAATGAATAATTAATCGTAGTATTAGTGACGTCAATTGTTCCACATATACACAAATGTTGAAATTAACAAATGAATAGATGACTTTTTATAATTTTCATCATTTAGATGAAAATGAAGATGACAATGAAGAAAATGAAAAAGATGACAATGAAGAAGAAGAAGAAAAGGAAGAAAACAAGGTGACAGCAGAAATAAAAAAAAAAAAGGGAGAGAGAGAGAGAGAGAAGAGATCGAATTATTCAGTGACCGTTTCAATTAAATTTCATGATGTCATCAACATTCATATAACATATATATATATAATGTAATTGTATACATAAATACGTATACATTACTAATTTGTATTTGATCATTACATTTGTACCTGAAAATATATAATTAAATTAAAATTTTTGAATTAATTTTCATATTTAATTTATTCATTTGGAATAAATTTTCATTATTTAAATCAAAAATTAAAAAAAGAAAGAAAGAAAAGATGTAATAACTGTTTTAGTTGTAATTTTAAATGCTAAATTCAAATATTAATAGTTACGAAAAAAAAAAAAAAGAGAGAGGGAGAAATGGGAAAGGAAAATAAAAAGTTAATAGGAATAATTTATTGAAAAAATAAGAAATGGAAAAGAAAAAACGGAATATTTTAATGAAAAAATTTCAATACGTATTAAATTTCTATTGCAAAAATAGCAATTACTGAAAAATATGAAAAAAAAAAATGATTAATACTTAATATTGTAAATCTGAAAAATGATCGAATAATAATTAGTAACTGAAATAGCTAGTAACTGGAACTAATTTTTAAAACTTATTGTATCAAATATTTATATATATATATTTTTTTTATTATTTTTATTATTATTTTTTTATTATTTTTATTAAAAATATATATATATTTTTTTATTATTTTTATTATTATTTATTATTATTATTATTATTTATTATTTATTATTCTAAAATATATAAAAAATAAAAAAAAGTGCAAAAAAAGAAAGGAAAAAAGAAATAAAACGAAAAACTTAATAAAATATTAAACAGTTGTACAACGAAAGAAATTCAATTTTTGTTTGTTTGTTTTGGTTTTTGGTAATTAAATAATAAAATGAAAGTTTCCTGTATAAAAAAATAATTCACATCAAATTATAAAATATTGCATTTTTGTCTATTATATGTTATTAAGAGAATAAATATGGCACATTTGCAATAAATTTTAATTAAAATAATAACATAAATTTAATCCTATGTTAATTAACTTAATTTTATCGTAAAATTTTTTGTAAAATTTTTTGAAATATTAAATATAAATGAATTATTATGAAGAAAATAAAGGCATAAAGGCAAACATAAATTTTCTTAAAAATAACAAATTATTTATGTTTATGAATGATTCTTTCAGTTTAAGAATAATTTTCCATCCTTTCATTTATAATAGCTAACCAATGGCTACTTATTATTAATGTGATATTAATAATAAATATATATTAATCATTGCAGTATGTAATAAATGCATTAAATTATAAAATAAATAAATGTTATTCCATGTTTAAAAATAAATTAAAATAACAATTAATATTTATTACAATCAGTAATAATACTTAATTCAATAATATAATGATAATGATGATGATGATAATAATAAGAATAATAATAATCATTATAATAATGAGAATAATAATAATTAAATAAATAAAAATAAATAATAATAATAGTAATAATGACAATAACAACAGAACTGAGCACAAATGGTATTATTTATATGACAGCTTTTTTTTGATCAATTTATTTCGTTAATTTATTGTTTACCTTCTATGAATTAAACAAAAATTTTTTGTACACAAAAAAAAATAAAATAAAATATCATCCATAAATAAACTATTAATGTATCTTTTAAAATGAAAAATTCAAAAAAGTGACTTTTTTTGTTTGAATAAAATAATTAATTAAAACAAAGATACGATGATATTTGTTATGATGATTATAAGATGATATGGGTTATTGTTACATATAAACAAAATAGAATTAGAATAAAAAAAGTTAATTTTTTATTTTCATTTCTCAAATTTCATTTGGTTATTTAAACCGAAAAGAAAAAAAAAAAGATTTGTTATATAAAAATGCAATTTTCAAGAAATAATTCAATTTTTACTTGAAAAAAAAAAAAAAAAATGTTGTGTAATAAATGAATTTTAATCATTTTTTCTCCAATTTTCTCACACACATTCTTCTATTGACATTTTCATTAGAGGACAATTTTTATAAACAATCAGTGCATGAGAAATTAATAAAAATTGAAAAAAAGAAAAAAAACCGAAAAATAAGAAATCGAAGAAATCTAAACATTTTCTTCTTCTCCCCTCTCCCCTGCTCCCTCTCCATCTCCTTCCCCCACCACTTTTTTGCCTTATTCAATAATTGTTAGTTCAAATTGATCAAAATCTTAAATACACTTAATTCATTTTCATTTTCATCATTTAGATAGTATTATGAGATTTCAATAAAAAGTAAAAAAAAAATGTCACCTAGGCTTAACAAATCGATTTTTTTTTTCTTTTACTCAAACATACTTTAATAGTTTAATACTATCACTAGACATATTTTGCCTAAACAAAATTAATTTTTCATTGTAACACTCTCACTTTATTCATCGCTTCATTTTCATATTCTAAAAAGTCTAACAAATCGATTTTTTATTTCATATATCTTCTTAGCTTATTATATTTTATATTCCAAAAAAGCCCAATAAACAAAAATCAATTATTTGCTCAGTCTATAAGGACTAATCGATTTGGCCATGAGCTATATATGGCTATTTACTTGTTTAGGAAAGCAGCCTTAAGCCTATAGCTGTTATCGGATAATGTCGATGCTATGCTTCATCAATAATAAGTGCTCCCCTAACCAACCATCAAAGAAATCGGAAATATGAAAAATAGGACAACAGGAAAAGATCGTTGTGATGATAGCAACCAGACCATAGTGAATTCTACTCAAATCAACTAAAATAAACAATTGCTACAGCACACATACACACATACATACATATACATACATACACATACATACACACACATACATACATACACATATATATTTATATATAAATATTATATGCATAAACAAATATACAGAGACAGACAAAAGACATACACACCCCATATCTCATATCTTCTTGCTTTATGTTTATGAGAGTGTCTGAAAAAGGTTGATAATTAGGAGGATGTCACCTTCTCTCATCTCAAACGATTTGTAGTATTCATATTCTAAGTTGACAGTTAGGAGGATGTCACCCTCTCCTCAAACGATTTGTAGTATTCATATTCTAAGTTGACAGTTAGGAGGATGTCACCCTCTCTCTTCTCAAACGTATTCATATTCTAATCATATCATATATCACTTGCATTGATCTAAATGGATTCCTCTATCATTTAATCATAGTAATAATAAATAGATTGAAAAAAAAAAAAAAGTTATTTATTCATCACATATTTACAATTTTCACTCTTTCATAGATTATTTTAAGTTTTATTGATCAAATTTGTTTCTTAGAAAAGTTTATAATACTCTTATCATTTTATCATTTTATCGTTTTATCTTTTCTATTCCTATTATTTTTTATTTGTTCTATTCCTTTTTTTTTTTTTTATTTTTTATATTTAAATTGTTATTAGCAAAATTAATCAAAATTAACGAAATATTTGCATATTTATCATCAAAATCAAATATAAATATTAAAATTTATTAATAGCAAAAGAATGAAAATAAAAATTTAAACGAAGAACAATGGAAAATTAATTTATTGACTGATGGTTGTTTTAAATATTATCACTCTGATATCAATCAATTATCCAATATTTGATACGCTAAATTATTCGGTATTGATTGCCGTTATAGTTGTAATTGTGATTTCTATTATTATTAATATCATTATTAATAAATTAATATCAAGTTATTAATTTAATTCTTAACATTATTATTAATTGAATATTATTATTAAAAATTAATATTATTATTATTTACTATTGTTATTATTATTAAATTATTATTAATACCTTTTTAATCTAGCATCCATCATTTATTACAATATTTTTTTGTTTGCTAAAACAAAAAGTTCAAACAAAATATTTTTTCTTCTCTTTAAAGAAAAAAAAAAAAATTAGAAAAGAATGGAAATTTTACATAATGGAAAAAATTATATCATTTTAGCAAAGATCAAATATTATCATAAAAAATGCTTCTACATTAAAAAATGTAACAAATGAAAATGACAAATTTACAAAATTATTGAAATCCTATGAACAAACAGGAAAGTCACTGGATGCATTTTCCGTATGTTAGCTTTTTTGCATCATCAATTCTATTACTTACCAATTACTTTTTATTTAATTGATGAAAACAATTATTTATTCATTTCACGTCATCAACAAACATATATTAATTATTTCTATAAATTATTTCTAAGAAAAAAGGAAAAAAGTTATAGCTTATAGCTTCTTTGAATTCAAATTACTTCATTCAGAAAAAATCTCTTCCTAATTTTATTACAGCTTTATAATATTTAATTAAGTGTATTAATTTAAAATGAACTAAATATGATAAATGAAAAAAAAAAATACTTTCAATATATTACTAAAGAAATTTTTTCCACATGGAACAAAAATTTTCAGGAAAAAATATTAGAGAATTGTTAAAAAACACTTATTTTTAATAATTTAATATTACAAGGCTTAAATGTAATATCAATGATACGGAAAGTAATTTATCATATAATTTTATCACATGAAAAAAAATTAAAATTGAATAAGCTATTATTATCAAAAAAAAAAGAAAAAAAAATTAAACTAAATTTGATCGATGGCTAATTTGATTTTATTACTTGAGTGAAAAAAAGATTAAACCTAAATTTATCATCAATGATGTCAACGTTGTAAAGGTTGAGACTGCTATTTATCATTTGTATTAAATTTCAATCTCAGCATTATCGATTTTAAACTAATTTTAAATTTATCACTTCTGCAAGGATTGGACATTTTCATTATGTCACAATCAATATTGCATCTTTAAAATGAACAATGAACAATCAATAGGTCAATATTAGTAATAATTTGTCATGCCTGTTTCCCTCTTAATTTTCGTCTAGTGTTCCCGAGAAACTTCTTGGATTTCTTAAAAATTGAATTATGCTACTTTGATTTAATGGAAACCGAGAGCTGGAATGCTTGCTTAAGGCAATGTGATCTAATTAAATGCTAGCACAATGAATTTTAAGAAGTCAAAAGAATTCAAAGATTAACAATTTAGAACTGTTCGAAGAAGTATAAAGTATAAGTATGTATAACCATATCCAATGGCTATCTTATGCCATAACCGTATCCGTATCTGACATAGGGTCATGAAATACGGTCGAAATCTAGTCATATAGAAAATGGAAATGAGGGAAAGGAAATATCCCATTTATAGGGTGTCATTTTTTCCGGATAAAGCTCACTTTAATATCGAATGAAACAAATAACCGATTTAAAGAAATCAAAGGAAGAAAAGACTAAATAAATAGCTAATTCATCAATAATAACAGAATTTGTATCAGTAGAATTGGGAAAAATATTAAAGCCTGATAAGAAATGCACAAATTCGGTAAACGATTTAAAAAATTTCCGAAAAATCTTCACCACATATAAAGTTCCAAAAATAATTTTATGCATGTAAATAGGACGAAAGATAATTAGGAAATGATCAGTTATTTGGTAATATAAACGATTATCTAAAATAAATTAAAAGAATGAATTAAACATTAATCAAAATTATTAGCATAAATTAAACTTATAATTTATTCGTGTTAATAACGATAAATTGTTATAGGTAAAATTAAGAAATAATTTGAAAGCTAATTTTAATCGTGCAAAAAAAGAGATAGCACTACTCAATTTAGATAATCTCCGTGAATTAACAACATCGAGCAGGTATTCATTTCATTTCAAAAATGTGCTGATTAATTGATTTATTTAAATTTAAATTATTTAAACATCAAATTTGTTAATTAAATGTCATCATTAACAAAATTGATTAATATGTTATGGAATATTTTAAAGTGTCTTTAATTTGAAATATGAAAAATTTATAATATTTATATTTCTGAAATTGCTTTTCTTTTTTCAAATATTTTCAAACTAATATGATTAATTTTTTAGCAAAAATATGTTAAAAAATTTCCTCGATTAATTAATTTTGTCGTTCAATTCCTAAAAATGTTATCGTTCTTTTTTTGGAAAAAAAAATTTATTTTTATTAATCAAAACAAACAAACAAACAAATATACTATTGGATTAAATGATATGAAAAATAATTCGTCTTTAACTGCTATCAAATAAAAAATGCTATGCTTAGTACAACGCTTCAAATGGGAACAACAGCGCCCAATTTGAAGGCAACAGCGCTTACTAAATTGACAACACCAGCTAACAATAGCGAGCAAAAATTGTTTATGGAAAATTTAGAAGAGTATTTCTTTATTTTTTCTATTTTATTATATAAAATTATTTTATGTTAAATTTAATAGAATATTTATGTTATTAATTAATTGTCGTATAATTATTTAACAAACGTTAGAAGTGTAATAAACATAATATTATTAAAAATTTTTTTATTTTTTTAACTTATATTATTATTTTTTAAGTATATTTTTATTAGCTGTATACTATCAAGTATTTTTTATTTTTTAACGGTATTTTTTAACTCATTAATATGCATTAAATATAGTAAATTAAAAAAAAAAAAAACATATGTTATAAACGTAGCATACGTAAGCAAGCGTAACACACGTAAACAGATGTTTTACCTAGTTATTTCACACTTTTATATTTTGATCATATTTTATCAACAAATTAGAAAATTTAATTATATAAAAGATCTAATTCTAAGCATATGATAGCAGTTATCATTTAAAAACGCACTAAATGATTTAATCAATAATCAGATAATTTAAATTAATGTTAAATTATTATTTCAGAGTTTTTTTTTAGAATTTGAAAACCTTTTTATTCATTTATTTTTTAAAATACAATATTTCAAAATAAAACCAATACACATTTCCAATAAGTTTTTCTAATTTATCATCGACCATTTGCATTCCTATCATAAATAATGATTAAATATTTGCGCAAACAAATTTTATATTCGTACAAGAACGCATTATGAATAAATTTTATTTTTCAATGTATTTTAAAAGTATAAAAAAGCTAAAATTTAATAATAGCATAAGAATTGTAATATTTTAAACTTAAATATTACATCTTACAGACAAAATTTTAAGTTTTATGGAAATAGTATAATGAGCGATTAATAGTAATTCGAATAATACTTAAAAAGAAGATTGTTTGCATAAAAATATAAAAAGTGAGAAAATTTTTGATACAATTTTTGCTATCAGCGGCGACTTCAATCAAAACTTTTTCATTTTCTGCTGTTATTTTCTCTCTCTTTCCCTCTCCTTCCCTTCCATTTTATCATATTTTGTTTTATGTAAAATGTTAATCGTAATCCTAAAAAGAAAACGAAAAAAAAAAGAATATTTCCTTAATCCTTTTTATTTTCAGTAGTAATTTAAAATTCTAAATTTAAAATTTACAAAATAATTTACCTGAAAAAATGACTAACATTCTTATGATTTATTCAAAAATTAAAAGGTTTAATGTTGAAAAAGTTAGAAATAAAATTGATTCGTAACATTTTTTATTTTGTAAAAATTTTTTAGAAAAAAAAAGAATTTCATGAAAAAAAATTAAGCAATAATTTCAAAACAAATTCACCTAATTAGTTTATTTCAATTAAAATTATATGAAAACAGAACTTAATAATTGATTTTTCTCAAGAAAAGAAAATTTTTTTCTAAAAGAATCAATTTATGTTTTTTTTTTTTTTTTTTTTTTTTTTTTTTACAACAGCTTTAACATTGATAAATTTTTAAAATTTATTTTAACAATTTTTTTTATGGTCTGAAAGCAAAAAAAACTTCAAATTTGTAGAAAATATTTACTCATTGACATTTTATTTTAGGACAACATTGTCATTATCGGATGAAACTGAATATGAAAATATTTTTCAAAGAATTGATAATGTAACCATTGGTTTGGTAATTGGAATTAGCATTGTTCTTTTCTTAATTATTATAATTAATTGTTTTACATTTCGTATCTATTTGAAAGAACGTAAAGGTAATAATTTTTGATTTTTTTTGTTTGTTTATATTTATTTTTTAATACTTTCGTCTATTTTTTTTTTGGGAGGAAATATTTTTTTTTTAACAATATTATAAAATTTATTAGATTTGTTAGAAAAAAAATTTGTTATTTAGGTATCATTTAAATTTATTAGAAAAGGAAGATAAAACATATTTTTTTAAAAAAAAAAAAGATACAATTTAGATAATTTATAATTTTCATAAAATAACTTATAGATAATAATTTAAAAATTAGGAACTTATAATTTACAAATTTCCTAAAATTATAAATGAAAGAAAAAGTGAGAGAAATAAAATGAAAAAAAAAAAAAGCTTTTGTTTTTCTTTTTTAATATGCATTGTAATTTATAAATTTTATAAAATAACCTCTAAATTATAAGTTAGAGATTAATAATTTATAATTTACAAATTTCACAAAATAACTTCTAAATTATAAATCAAAGATTAAAAATTTATAAATTACAAACTTCATAAAATGATAAATGAATAAAAGCGAGAGAGAGAGAAATAAAATGAAATATAGATGATGATCGATCATTTCAAAGTGATGATACTACTGAATCATCCAGTGATAGGACATTAACAACAAATCGACAATACGGTGGTTGTTCACCTCGTTTTGCATATCAATTTTATGATGATAGCATTTAAGATGAAAAATTATTCAACTATTTTAAATTTATCTTATTTGACAAATAATTGTAAATGCAATATGAGAAAAAAAAAAAGGAATTATAATTCAATTTTTTATTATAAATATTTATTTTCAATTTTTTTTTCACATTCGCGAAAAAATTTGGTGAAAATTTTTAATGCTACTAAATTATAATTCAATTTTTTATTATAAATATTTATTTTCAATTTTTTTTTCACATTCGCGAAAAAATTTGATGAAAATTTTTAATGCTACTATAGAATTCCCATTGTAATCTTAATTAATTTAGTTAAAATTTGCACTGAAAGATAATTTTTATTCAAAAAAAAAAAAAATTCTTTTTGATTTTTTTTTTGAAATTAGATTCTTGTATAATTAATATAACAATTTGATTTGCATAAAAATTTTTATAATAAAAAATAAAAAGAAAAAGAAAAAATTTAAACGAAATCTTTTTCTTTCATTTTTTCTAAATTATTAAAGTGTGTAATAAATTTAAAATTGTCATTGGCAAATATCAAAATAATAGAAATGTAATCAATCGATCAAGTAAATATATTCAGATATTGAAATAATATCATTTGAAGCAATTTATAATAGAATTTTTTAAACAAAACAAGAAAGAAATTAAAAAAAAAAAAAATGCATCGCTTTTATGTTTTTAGAAATTACGTAAAAATTTTGCTAATCTATTAAAATCAAAAATTTTAATATTTGTTTCATTCGTCCCACATTCCATCTTCAATTTCCTTTTGTCTTTTCAATGCATCTCGTTCTCTGAAAACATAAGATAGCATTAATAGAAGATAGTAAAATTTAATATTTATAAGGTTTTTTTTAAATAAATAATTCATTAAATAGTATTTAAAAGATGAATTGACAAATTCAAAATATATTAAATTAATCATTTACGTTAACATTTTATAATTTCGTACTTTTGTATTTTGATGAATTAATAAACAAATAATAATTTTAACAATAAATTGAATTGATCTTATTTTTTCCATTAATATTTTATATTGCTATACTTTTTAATGTTTTTAAGAATTAATAATAAACAATAAAAAAAGTGAACCAACAATTGCTATTGCACCAATTTTTCTTTTTTCTTTTTCTTTCTTCATTTTTTGTTTGTATTAATATTTTATAAATGCTACACCTTCGTTCATGTTTTGCTTGTTCCATAAATTTATGGAATTGTTCCGCTTCCTCTTCCGGTATCCATGCATTTTTATCTGGAACTCTTGGATCTAATTCATCTTTCCAATCATCTATAAGTCTATCCAATTCTTTCTCCAATTCATTTATTCTTTCCACATATAAACGCATTGCCTCATCATTTGATAAGCATAAAATAAAATTAAACGAAAAAATACAATAAAAATTTTAATCAATAATTTATCAAATATTAAACGAAAATCAATAATTTATCAAATATTAAACGAAAAATAAAAATTTTAATCAATAATTTATCAAAAAATAAAAATTTTAATCAATTTATCAAAAAATAAACAGTGAATTTGGAAAGAAATGCACAATTGCTAACGTATTAAAGCTTAATTAAAAAATTCCTTCCATTAAAAATTCATGAAATTCAATTGAATTAAAAATATATATATATATATATATATATATATATATATATATATATATATATATATATATATATATATGGCAAAATAATTTGAATTATATTAATTGTATTAGTTAACCTTTGCACTTATTCCATGCATGCCATTTACGATTTCCCTTAATCCATGACCACATATATGACATTTCATTTGGGTCACGATAATTTATTTCTATAATTATTATTCCTTGTAAAATTATTATAAATTCTATGGAAATTTGAATTTTTTAGAAATTAATTTTACTATTGAAATTATTGAATCATTTTAATTTTTCTACATTTTTTTGAAATTATTGCGTTACTTTAATTTTTTCCAAAACATCAAATTTTTAACTGTTTTAAAAAAATGAAATAGAATTTTGAAATATTTCAAATGTTGAACAAATAAACTTCTGTAGATGTAAATCATTGATATTAATTTGGTAAAAGTAAAATAATTGGTAATCAATAACAAATCAAATTAAAAAATTTTTCCATTTCTTTATCTAAATGAATAAATGATGAAGGAAAAATAAAATCATTTTTTTTTCAATTATTAAAAAAAATATATGTTTGTGCATATATCAAAAAAAAAAAAAAAGAAACTAATCATATTTTATTTATTTCAAATTATTTAAAAGAAAAAAAAAAAAAAAAAAAAAAAAAAAACGAAATAACTAATATGCATACATATATTAGAATTTTTTTTTGAATTTAATTTAATTAAATTTTAGGTAAAAGAGATCATAAAATCATGATAATACTTGGTACATTGATATCACCAACAATCGCTTGCTGATACAACCCAAACAAATCATATGTATGTTCATCAAATTTAATTAATAATTCGTATTCGTTCTTTAATTCCTGTCTTTGATCAAAACGTGCTCGCATCTTTTTGTATTTCATAACAGAATTGTAAAAGTCCTGAATAAAATGATATTCATGGAAAAATTTTTTTTTTTTTAAATACTACTGTTTATTTTTAATTTATCATTAAAGATACCATTATTATCAAATTTTTTAATTTGTTATAATTTAAAAAAAATATATATGCTCAGCATCGATTGGTAAATTTGTCTTATCATTAAAACATAATTACGTTAATTAATATTTTTTTCAAATCATACATTCATGTATTCATAAAAATGCGATGAATAAAGTTCAAGAAATTATAAATTACATTCTTGTCATATGCATCGAGCAATAAATTTATATCATCATTGATTGCAACATATATTATTAATTACATCAGTTAACATTAATTCTTTATTAAACTATTCAAAATGTTAATTGACATAATCAATGATATAACTTATCATTAATCCATCCTATCATGCAGCTATCTGCATTATCAACTAATAAAACAGTGAATAATAATGATTACAATAATTTCTAATTACTTTAACTCTAAAAATAAATTTAAAACTTTTTGCTTTAAATTTCTCAAGAAGTGATTTTAATATTGTCGTCATTTCATAATTACAATGAAAAATAAATAAATAAATATATTCATATAGCTTAGATTGTCATTATAGTATGAAAAGAAATAAAAGCAACAAACCTCTCTCATAGCGCAAAGGATTAGTAATAAAAAAGAAAGTGAGAAATAAAGACCATTTAAATATTTGAATAATTAGCTTCGATTTCTTTTTATTTCCGTGTTATATTCAATAATTAGTATTATATTCCATCATTATAACTTACATTTCTCTTCGTCTACCAATCTTACTTTCATAAATGAGGCAAACCACTGCCAATTTAAGAAATAAATATAATAATTACCACCTATTACTGTAACCACTTACGGCCACCTGCTTCTGCAACTACTTGCGACCACTTGCTGCTGCAATCACCTGCTACGGTAGCTATTGTAACCACTTGCTATCGCAACCATCTGTCGTCACATGCGACGGTAGCTGCCTGCAACCACTTATGGCCACTTGCCACAGTAAACACCTGTGATCACCTATGCTGTGACCACTTGCGACCACCTACTCAATAACCACTTGCGGCTGCTTGCCACAGTAAACACATGTGACTACCTGTTGCTATGGCCACTTGTAACCACCTGCTACTGTGACCACTTGTGGTCACCTGCTGCTACAACCACCTGCTATGGTAGCTGCCTGCAACCACTTGAGGCCACTTGCCACAGTAAACACATGTGACTACCTGTTGTTATGACCACTTGTAACCACCTGCTCTATACCAAAAACTACATTTGAATTTTAAACATGATAGATTTATGTGTCATTTTCAACTACTTTTGATTTTGAGGTAAAATATGAATTAAAATCGAATTTTCATTAAAAAAGTACAAATATTTTAAAATTATTTAGCATTTTGCTTATGGTAATATATTCGAGCAATGATGATCTTTGTTTTGCGGTAAAATTTTTTCTCACAATATTATTTGAATGAGCAATTTCAATTGTAAAAAAATTAATAAAATGGAAACCAAAAGGAAAACAAGATAAAGTACACTAGATATTCTCTGCACTCTTTGACACGCTACTTATAATTGCTCAGTGGTCATTAAAGTTTATTCCACCTGCTGTATGGTCGTTTTTTTGCATGAATTTAAAGATGGCAGCGAATTTTATAGCCTTTTGTTGTATTTTGCTTGCATAATGTCTGCAAATTCCATGCAGGCGTTTCTGATTTTACCGCTATTTATGTGCTGCTGTAAGGACATATCATCAATTCAAACACTAAAGTGAGTCATACCAGCATTAACGTTTGCATTTCTTTTCTAAATCATTCATTGCAGCACTGCCTACAACCATAGACTGCGTGCAAAATAAGCTAAAAGCGCCAAAAAATTTGTCGTCTTTTATTTTACCAATATGCACGTACGCACAACAACCAATATGAATGAATGTGCCATATTCATTTTGATGACAGTAATGGTTGTTGCAGAGATGAATGAGTGGGTGCAGTACATTTTCCCTCAGACAAATGTTCACATGAATTTTTTTAGCTATAGGCACTGCAACTGGCAATGCTGGCAGTACCGATGGAACGCTGCCTGCTATATTATGTCAATCAGTTTCGTATCGATGAACTTTCCTCTGTACATTATGGGACGACTAATTTTGCCTACTTATACGATATACCCGAATGATTAATAAAGAATGTAAGGATGAAATCTAAAAGTGATGTTAGAATAAAAGAATTCGAGGCGATTTTGCATGGGCATTTTGTACTGTCATCAGGGCTGCACAGTGATACATACACACAATGCGCTAAGATTTTTGAGAATCCAAGGAGAGCAAGTCTGTGAGCTACTGGCAAATAAAATAAAAAAAGAGCTAAAACTCCACAGATTTAATTAATACTCTTTTCTGCAATTGTTGGAATAATTGTTGGTTTCTGCAAAAGGATGTTGTTTGACGAGTAACATTCTTTTTTTGTGTTTCTAGTAAAGATTTAACCATAAAAAATTTCAAAATTTTATTATTACATAGTGAAACAACAGAATTTCAAAAAAAGTCTCTTCTATTTTTTCTTAAGAGATTTTTCAATCTAAGTGATGTATAGTAGCAATATGTTTATGTTGATCCTAATGAACAGTTTAGTTTTAGTTTACACAACTTTTTCGAATGTGAAGGAGGCTAAAACTGCTTCTGAAGAATTATTAAAGAATGAAGAAATTAATTATATATATAAATATATATTTCTGAAGAGAAAATATATATCATAAAGTGAATTCTCTTGAAGTAATAGCAACTATGAAAAGCAGAAGCGACCAAGTTGATAAAACTGTAGAAAAAGTTGAGCAATGCATTCTTATGATCAGCCAGCTATTGTAACAATATCTGTAGAAGAAATCAATCATACTAATTGGGTTAATAGTATGTTATTGATGAGGACAGTTTTGGGGTGGGTGCAGCCAAGTGGTAAGGCATCGGTTTTCGATGTTGCTGTGTCAGGGTTCGAATCCTTCTATCTAAGCCATATATCAACGGTGGTAGTGTAAGTGGTTCTTCTCTAATGTCAACGTTATTCGTTTAATACATAAAGTATTAACATTTATAAATAGAACGGAAAAGTTTGTATGGAAAGTAGTAACTAATAACGCTGATGCAATAAAAATCTTAAGAGGAAGCACCCAGGTATGTACATGGGGGGGATACCTGGTGATGGGTCTGGTTTGCATATATGGGGTTGTTGATAATAAGGTATAGATGAGGGGCATTATGACAAAATTGAGGTTATCATAGATGAGGGGCATTATGACAAAATTGAGGTTAGCATAGATGGGGATGGCTCAGTATCTGTAACTGATAATGGTTGTGGCATTTCAGCTGATAATCCTTTACAAAGAAGGAATATCAGCAACATAGATAATAATAATGACCCAACTGCACGAATGTGGTAAATGTGGTAGCAATATAACTAAAAGGTTTCTAACGGATTACGTGGTACATGGTGCTGGTATCTCAGTTGAAAATGCATTATCATGGCACAATAAGAAAGAACGCTTTATGCGCTTTGAAGATGGTGAGTAAATAAGAAAACAAACAAATGAGGGAGTAGAGTAACATTTATACTGTCAACGGAGACTTTTATTAGTACTGATTTTCTCCACTCTTGAAAATCGTATCAGAGAATTAGCTTTTTTAAATGCAAGTATTAACATCACTTTGCATGACTTTCGTAACAAACTGCATGTAGAGTCTTACTTTAACGATAGTAAACAATCTAAAGATAATTTTGGCACAGCAAATTTCATGCGGTACTTAGACAAGAATAAAACATATGTTACCAAACTTACCAGCATGAAGGGTGATGCAAAAGATCTTGGTATCAGCATAGAAATATGAATGAAGTGGAATGACTCCTACTACGAACAATGGGATGGTGGTACACATTTGGCAGAGATTGTAGTGGAAGCAAAAATGTTTTTGGAAACAACCTTTATGATTTGGTTAAATTGTTATTCGGGGGAGAAGTTTGATGTCAGGGAGATGTGTTGGATGCCAGCTAAATATTTGGGCAACAATTGAATAAACTGATCTAATTGACAATAGTATGGTTATAAAATCTACATTGATGTTAGACAATGATCCAAACAAAGGAGAGGAGGTGCTTGCATGGGCACCAGTTGCTAATAAAGAGCTTATTAGATAACCGCATGATTATGATAGCTAACAAAGAACAATGTAGATATCCTCATGATTGTAAGGATTGCTAACAAAGAACGATGTAAATTGTTTCAATATGTAGAAGCATAAATTTGGAAACAAAGAGTCCGAAGTATAAGCATTATTTGCGGAAATTACGTAGATATCTTTACTACAATTTGCAACTCATATTTTTAGATCGCGATATTAAAATCCGCGACACTCCCGACCGAAGGAGCTAAATGCTTTAGTTCGTTGGACAGCTTTGGTTGATTGCTTCGCCTTATAGCGCTTCTAGTTCGTAGAGCAATTGGTTCTTGTTCATTGACATTTTGCACTGATTTGTTAAACATTGTTGGTTGAGGGTCAATTTCCTCACCTTTGACTTCCAGTGGGTATAACATATTCACCGGTCTGTTGAGTATTTTCCTTTCGGTAATTCTATCGAGACACTTCTCACTTCTCCATCCTTTCCTGTTTTGATTTCTCTTATTCTGGCTAGTTTCCACATGCCACGGGGAATTTCTGGTTCATTTAGTAACACAATCTCTCCCTCGTGGGGAGTTCTTTTTACTACATCTCTCGGAGAAGAGTGTTCCCTTTGTGCTCTTTCTTTAAGAGTATTTAAATATTCCTCTTTCCATATTTCCCAGAAGGCATCGAGGCCTTTAGTGTATTTGACCAGTATTGAATGAGTTTTTCTCTCGAATCCAATTTATGAGGGATAAAATCATCCATTTCATTCTTGTTTTTAGCAGGCATGATTAGATGCGCATTCGGTAGTATAAAGTCAATTGGACGCAATATGATACAATCATCAAAATTTACGTAAGTTAGTGGTCGAGTATTCAAAATACTTTCCACTTCCGCTACTAGCGTAATCAATTCCCGTTCCCATAATAACTTTCTGCCGATGGCTCTTTTCATTGCCCTTTTTGTTAACCCAATAAGTCGCTCATATACTCCTCCGTTCCAAGGCGCCTTTGGTATTATATTTTTCCAGATCATTTTCCTTTCCGCTAGGAATTCATTTAATTGTTGTTTCACAATGATTTTAAAATTAACTGGAATTGACCAGCGTTGTCGCTTAAGATTAATTCTGGAAAGCCTCGTCTTGCTGTAAATCTTCTGAAAACATGTAAAAAGCTTTCGGCTGAAAGAGTTTCTACTACTTCTAGATGTACAGCTCTTGTTGTGAAACATGTGAATAGTGCTACCCATCTTTTTGTTAGCCCATTATCACTCCTGATATTCACAGGACCTAAATAGTCTAGTCCTACTCGCGCAAAGGGTCTTGATCTTGTGGTCCGAGATGCTGGAAGATCAGCCATAGTTGGTAATTTGAATGGTTTAGTTGTCCAGCGTCTGCACTTCATGCACTTATTCAAGATTCGTTTGACTTCCGTTCTACCTTTTGGGATCCATATCGTCGATCTCAGATTTGAGAGTGTATGAGCAATTCCAGCATGATACAGTTGTTCATGTCGTTGCTGAATAAAGAGTTCAGTTATGGTGTTGTGTCTCGGGAGATATATTGGGTGTAAGTTACTCTCTTTCATTTCAGAGTTAACTACGCGGCTTTTGTATCTCCATAGTTCGTTATCATAGAACAAATTCCATTTGATTATTTCATCTTTGGTAACTCCTTCTGACTGTGCTTGTTTGAATAGCACAATTTCTGACAACTCGTAATCCTGTGTTGTCAATATATTCTTTTCTTTCGTTGCCATCTTTAGCCAAGGAATTTCCCTTTTCATTGTTAATCTTATGAATTTCAGAACCCAACCAGTTGTTCTTATTAATCTTGACCATTTGCTAAAACGACTAGCATCTAAGATTCCGAAATGTTTGTTTATGATAATTGGTTCTGTGATGTGGGCCACAATTTCTTCATCCTGGTAATCCTCATTGTAATTGTATTTCCACTGTGGCCATTTTGATTCGTTTTCTGTTAACCACTTTGGTCCTTTCCACCAAAGATCATATCCTTTTAGTTTATTCGGAGAGATTCCTTTTGTAGCTATATCAGCTGGGTTTTGTTCACTTGGGATATATCTAAAATGGATTTTCGCCTTTCGTATTTCTTCTACCCTATTTTGTATGAACGTTGGTAGTAAACGGGAACTATTGTGAACCCAATGAAGCGCACATTGAGAATCGGACCATAAAATTGTTATCACGTCCTCAAGCTCTTTTTGTTTTAATACGAATTGTACCATTCTCACTCCGATGAGTATTGCCAGTAATTCTAATCGAGGTATTGACATTCCTTTAATTGGCGCAATTCGGGATTTAGCAAACACTAAGAATACTTCTCTTTCTTGAGTTCGAATGTATAAAGCTGCTGAGTATGCAGCAGTTGATGCGTCAGTAAAAACATGAAATTGTACTTGCTTGGAACAATTTGTTGTGAATCTTGGTAGATCCTTTAGTTTCTTTGGCCATTCGTTCGTGAGTAATTTCCACGTGGTTTCATCTTCCTCACTTATAGTTTGATCCCATGAAAGGTTCTTTTTCCACAAAGTTTGGAGAAACAATTTGAATCTTATCAGTATAGGAACTATGAATCCTAGTGGGTCATATTGTGAGGCTACGAATTGCAATACAATTCTTTTAGTTAATTTCTTACCAAACCATGGTTTTAACGTTACTTGAATGATATCTTGTTTGTGGTACCAATTGAGACCTAGAATTTTTTTAATTGAACTTACCTCTGCTCGATCTTGTACCGGAAGTTTTTCATTGACTTCTTGGTCGTTAGAGAGAAATTCCCGTACATTCATTGATGCTTCATTGAATATAATTTTAATTTCCTTATAATTGGAAAGAGCTTCGTTGGTTCCTTTGGTTGGTATTATAATGTTATCGACATAGAGATTTTTCCTTAACTCGAGTGCGATTTTGCTTTTACAAGTTTCCAAATGATAATTGAGTGTAGCGGACAATAAAAATGGAGATGATACAATTCCAAATGGAACTCGTTGGAAACGGTAACAACTTACGTTTTCTTCGTTAACTGGACTTCGAATGTCTTTCAACCAAAGAAATCGAGTGCAGTTTCTATCTGTTGGATGCAATTCTATTTGCAAGAACGCCTTTTCTACGTCTGCTATTATTACATTTTCATTGTACGGAAACGTAGCAAAACTCCAACCAAATCAGGGAGTGTTATTGGTCCCCGATATAAAACATCATTTAAACTTTTCATTCCTTTACAATGAGCTGATGCATCATAAACTATCCTCAGATTTGTCGTGGTTTTATTTGGTGTTATTACTTCGTGATGAGGCAGATAATGAATAATACCAACTTCATTCATTTCCGATGACACTTTCTCAATTATATTGGAATTGAGTTGTTCTTCAATAGTTTGATTGTATCGACTTAGTAATTGAGGTTTCATTTGAAGCCTCCTAATTAACGACTTTAATCTTCCAAGGCAAAGTCCGAAATTATCGCTTAGTTTGTTCTTTGAATCTTTCCAAGGCCAACAAACTTGATATCTTCCCTTGTCCCTAGTGATAGTTTGTTTAAATTGCTGCAATGCTTTTTCATCATTGTCAGAGTTTATTTTGTCTTGTATACCCATTATTTCCAGTTTCCAAAAGTGATCTAAGTCTGGAATATTGACGGCATTGACTTGAGAAATCGGACTTACTGATGTGGTTTCTGAAATACTGTCGTGTATTTCATTTATATACCCACTTCCAGCTATTATAGGTCCAACCTTTGTATGGATCAATGAAAATCCTGATTTTAAGTTCTCTGCTTGGTCAAACTGGATAAACTTGAAGAAGTGATCCGCACCTATGAGTATGTCCGGTTGTTTCCATTTGTTTTTGAAATTACTAAACTGATTTCGTTTGTCTATCATCAACAATTCCTTTTTGTTTAGATTAACTACTTGCAATTCATTCGTCAAGTGGTTAACTGTTATTACATCTAATCGGATTATTTCTTTATTTCCAATTTTTACTCCGATTTCAGTTTTAGTAGTGATACACGTTTTTGGCGTCTTATCACCAAATGAAGCAATTTTTATTTCCATCTCGTTAGTTTCTTGTAGATTCAATCGATAAGCCAAATCCTTTGATATGAACGATAATTGAGAACCAATATCGAATAGAATTAAAGCCTTTTGTTGGATTTTTGGGCGATTTGGATTGGTTACATTTATTTCCTTACATAACAGTAAGGTTCGCTTTTTCCATTGATTTCCTTTTTCGGTAATGGAGTTAGCGATTGTGACTGAACCCAACCTTTCTTTGTTGGAATCCACTGCTTGCGTGAGTTCCTTGTAGTTGTTGGGACACAGTGCTGTATTGTGTGGACTTTTACAATGGAAACACAAAGGTTTCCCTTTTTTACAATCACTTGTTGCATGTCCTTTTCGTAAACATTTGAAACATGCAGTGATTTCTCTCAAACGTTCCATCCGGAGTTTGAGAGTGGGATAGATGTTACATTCATTGTTCCAGTGGTCCTTATTGCAAAATACGCATGGTTTCCTTTCCCCATTTATAGAAATTTTCCTGGAACCTTTTTGATTTGATTGTATTATCTCCCTTTGTTTGGTTGATTGTGGCGAAAGCTGACGTTTCGCCTCTAACATTATTTTTGTTTGTTTTCTTCTCCCTTGTGTCTGCTTGACTTCTAGCAACTTCTTCATTTCTTAGAACTAGTTTGTCAGGTACTGCCGGATATCCTTAACTGACCAACTCGTCGAATCCTCTTTCAATTGGTATAATTTATCAATTATCCACGCTGGTAGTTTATTTTCAATTGTAATTTCGATGCTTGAATGCTCTAAATTTTCACCTATAGCTTCCAGTTGTCGAATGTTCTCTCCATGGCTTCTATGGTTGCTTTCCACTCTCGGTCATTTTTTTTGATGGTATTCAACTCGTTGTAGAGTGATTTCTTTATAAGGAAAGGTTTACCATATTTCTCTTTTAGTAAACCTATTATAACATCGTAGTTTTCTGGCGCTATATCATAACCTCTTACAGATAACAAAGCATCTCCTTTAAGACATGATATCAGATAGTTTAACTTTTGAATATCTGGGATGCTTTGCTCATGGACTGCTGCCTTGAAACTATACCAAAATTGCCTCCACAATTTTGGATCCCCACTAAACGTTATTAGTGGTAATTGAGGAAGTTTTATTTCTGCTTGATTTGTGTGAATCATACTATTCTTTGGAAATGATTCTTTGACCTCTTCTTGTTTTAAATGTTGTAGTACCGAGCAATATTCATCAGTATGTATTTTAAGGGTAATAATAGTTTCTCTTGTTCTAGTGATTAAACTTAAAATACCTTGTGGATCGTCAACCATATTGGCGTATTTCGTCTCCTCTTCCTTTCTCCTCGTTGCTATTGTCAAGCTCTGAATATTATCCAGCCAATTTTGATTAGCTGTTTCGAGTAACCCAGCATAATATTCGAGATGTGCGATCTTCTCCTTGACGATTCGCAATTTAATTTCGTATTGATGCTGAAGTTCCCCTCGTGATAGTGTTTGAGACGGGGAGGTCAGATCGAGTTCACTTGCTTCTTTAAGAAGTTCTAGAGTTCTCGACTTCGATAATTCGCTTCCTTTTCTTATACTGTCGGACATGTCCCGGCTCGTGGCACCAAAATTGTAGTGGAAGCAAAAATGTTTTTGGAAACAACCTTTATGATTTGGTTGAATTGTTATTCGGGGGAGAAGTTTGATGTCAGGGAGATGTGTTGGATGCCAGCTAAATATTTGGGCAACAATTGAATAAACTGATTTAATTGACAATAGTATGGTTATAAAATCTACATTGATGTTAGACAATGATCCAAACAAAGGAGAGGAGGTGCTTGCATGGGCACCAGTTGCTAATAAAGAGCTTATTAGATAACCGCATGATTATGATAGCTAACAAAGAACAATGTAGATATCCTCATGATTGTAAGGATTGCTAACAAAGAACGATGTAAATTGTTTCAATATGTAGAAGCATAAATTTGGAAACAAAGAGTCCGAAGTATAAGCATTATTTGCGGAAATTACGTAGATATCTTTACTACAATTTGCAACTCATATTTTTAGATCGCGATATTAAAATCCGCGACAGAGATGCAATCTATGTTGCTTATAATATGAGTGACTAACTATATTAATAGTCTTATTAACTAAAGAACTGATTGTCTGTCCGAATTCTTCGTTTGTAATTTTGCATTTAAACAATTCAGCAATAATGTTGAATTTAAAAGTGCTAGAAATGTTCTTGCATAAGTGCTCCTTTATTGATCGTGATATTGTAAATAAATGCTTACGAGAATTGAGATCTTTACCTATTTTCTTTCAGCATTTATCCAATATAATCATACATAGAAGGTGATCAAAGTCATCACCACCAACCGCAAGAACTTGAAACACTCCTTGGTGTAATTTCATTATGTAAATTTCATATATTCCACTATTATTGTCCTTTGCAATAGAATAAGAAAGTGCTGCTGCGATTGGCTCATTAATGAGGCGAAGAACCTCTATGCCAGCTAATCTTTGTACATATTTTGTTGCATTACGTTCAAAATATATATTTTTTTTTAAATTAATTACATTTTTTCTAACATTTTTGGCATTTAATTATAACAGAATTTAGCATTTTTAAAATTTTTTTCAGCATTAAATTAACAAAAACTCTTGGAAATCTTCGAACTTTCCTAATAATCCATATCAAAATTTGTAATTAAAATTAATTTCGATGTCAAAAAAAATTAAAATCATCACTATTTGCAAATTTTATTAATTTCTGCATTGAAAGATTGCTTCAAAGTAATTTTTGTAAACTTTCTTTTTTGCATAAATTGTCAAATATCCACGATAGAATGTGAGCAGATCAGGTATAAGTCTTTTTTTATTACCACAGCTTTATCATTTGTATTAGGCAATGTAGCAGGCAATATAAATAACGCATTGTTATGTTATTAGGCACAATAATCTTTCCCATTTGTCATCAGTGATATTTATTTCAGTTAATACAATTACTAATCCACTAGAAATTATTGTTGTTATTATTGACTATTCTAATTTTAGGCAATAGATCTCTTCTTCCACTTGGTTCAGCGAGTGTAAAGTTTAATAAAATAGCTAGAGCTGCTTCTGGTCTTAGTTGACCTCATGTCATTCAGTGCTGCTTCTATATCATCGGTAGCTGCGGGTCATATCTTAAATGAGTTAATTATTTTTATTCTGATAACGAAGAATAGGTTAAGCAAAAGAAAGGATTTTCTACAGAAAATCATTAACTATACAGGGTTTTGAAGGAGCGCTTCTTGTAATTAATTCAAATATGGGATTATTTCAAAGATGATACTTTATTTAGAGTTCTTCATTTGTTAGCTTTGTTTTCTATTGTTACAATAAAGTCTATAAATTTACATAAATACAAAATTTTGTTTAGCGCATACTTCTATTACTCCATGATTCATTCAATTAATGTGATATATCGGTAATTTTATATCTTCAACCTTCTACTATACTATATTCAACGTGAACTGAGTTTATTTTAAAGTTGGGAGTTTTAGGGTTCTTTCTTAATCATTTCATTTCTAAATCAGAATGTTTAAAATTACAGTCTGTTTCATATTTGTGCCTTATTCTTTCTATATCCAATAATTTTTCTAGTGTTAGTCTTTAACTCTTCTTTCTCATTTATCACTATGTTAGCTTCCAAGGATTTATATTCGTTTATTTTTTCTCCCACTGGCTTGTTCTATCTTGCACTAGCCCATGGTAAATTCCAGAATTATCGTTTATAAATATTGCCTGTCTTTGTGATCTTATTTTAGTAACTTTTTCTGTGCTTTACACTATTCTGTGCTGGTGTAGAGCGGATTTTTACATTTCCTAATATTAGAAATTTCAATGTAAATGCGCTTACTATTTCGTTCTTTTGTTTCTTGTTCTCCAGCAAAACCTAGTTCAGCATATTGTTATGACAAATTAATTGAATTATCCTGTGTTTTTTATTCTCCTGTGCTAGAATAATTACTGTCAAGTGAATTACTGTCTCCCATAATGATAGAATTCCTCATAAAAATGTTCACCATTTTGTTCCTTTTAATTTCTTTTTTTTTGCATCCAGATTCACCGGGACATATACATGTGACAGATAAATCGACTGACTTTCTCTAAGCTCATTTATGCTAGAGTAACATTATCTCAAAAACCATCTCTTTTCTTATAAATGTGTTTATTATATGCAAATTGTGTTTCAGCATTCTGGGAAGACATTTCTTCATAAGTGTGATCCAATTGCAAAGAATGCCTTGCACTCTCCTTTATCATTGGGGCATGCTTTCTTTCAGTATTCATATAGTCAGTATTGCAATATTCAGAGCTTCTTATCAACAAAAATTGTACTATAGGATGAGAGATTATTCCCTTTGGTAAGTTCTTTGATAGGTCCAACTATAAACTTTAAGACAGCTAGTGTTTCTCACTGTGTGCGTTATAGCATTCTTGTTATCTTTGTCTAATGTGTTAACATTAGCATCTGAACTGATAATTCTATTATGTTGTTTGAGATTTTCTATAGCAACGCAAGTGTATCGTTTAAGTGCTGATATCCTTTTTATTATTAATGGATTCCTTTCTCTTAGCAGATTAAAAGAGTTTATTCTAATGCATTGAAGAGGCCTAGAGTAGCTTTTAAAATTTCTTTACTGTTGTATTTGGTAGCTTGAATTAATAGTTTGCTTTTGATTCCCACTGGTTATGTCTCACTGCCTATATTCTTAGAAATATGTTATCTTACAGAGGTTGACTTTTATAAAATCGTCTAGTGTGTACTGTTAAGTTTTATAAATTTTAGTCTTGCTTCCACTTTGCATATGGGTATTTTTTTACTCACATTCTTCAAATTTGCAGCCTTAGGTAGAATGTTGCAGCAATTTTGAAATCTGATAATTTATCTAGAACAACAGATAGATTATAGATATAAGAAATATCATTTTGATCATGGGAAATTACAGTTACCATGTATCCCTTGGCACTTTTATAGTTTTCCTTTTTCATATAGAGCAGACCTAACTTTGCTAAAAAACAAAGGAGCATATTTTTTTATACATCATGAAATTTCAATATTCCACTTAACACTATATCAGGATCGTACTGTGAATTTTTTGTTAGAAAGTTTTCTAATATATAAGAGTTAAAGAATATTCTTTTAAAAGTTTTATTAGTTTTAGACCTAAGCTCTTTTATATTCTTTGTTAGCATAATAATTATCTCCTAGCACAATTAAGGCATTTTTATAATAAGCAATCTTGCAGCGACTTGATTAAAAAGAGAAATAGTTGTCTCACTATCTTCGTCTCAAAGGAATCCTTTACCTTTTCTAAGATAGAGTGCATACTAAAGCTCTTACTGAAGCTCTTAAAATTTTAGTATTGAATTTGTCACTCTTTTTTTCAATAACGTCAAAACCTTTACATTTTTTGTCGGCTTTTATGTACTTAGCAACGCTATTAAAGGCTTTTTGTATCTCAAAATTTTCGTTAGCATAGACAGCAGAAAATTCTAATAAAATCACGGTGCAAATTAATATACAGGCAAGTATAACTTGCATTGATCAACCACAGGAATACCAGAAGCTTTTTCAATAATGAAATTGCTTCTGCAACTGTTTTATCAGGGGAACAACACAGTCTGAAGTAGAGGAGTCAATAGTCAATTGCTTATGTAATCCACTGACTTTTTTTGCTGCTTTCTTTTTGTACTCATGTATGAGAGACACATTGCTTTGGTCGGTGTGGCTCAGTCGGTAGAGCATCAGCTTGTGGTACTGAGTGCGGCTAGTTCGGCTCTGCTCACTCTCTCCAGGAAGATCGTTCCCTGCCTTATGATGACTACTAAATTAGTGTGCAATTACACAGCCAGCAAAGGCTCCTTGAATAATCCGAGTGGGTGTGGCTCAGTTGGTAGGGCATCAGCTTGTGGCATTGAGTGCGGCTAGCTCGGCTCTGCTCGCTGCCCTCACTTAAAATCTCCTCTGCATTATTATGAGTCTTTAATCAGCCAGCAAAAACTCACTCCCCAAACCATCTAAGTGGGTATGTGCGCCTAGTTCGGTTCTGGTCGCTCTCCCAAATGAAATCTCCCTTGCAAAATGATGAGTAGTCCTAAACACAGCAAAAACTCTCTAAATCATCTGAAAATTCCAATAAACGATTGTCAGACATGTTATGTTCAACCTACTGTCTTCATCAGATGTACCTCAACTTCTTGACTAAATTTAATGAAGTTGGTAAGGAATATAGCATTATCGTCAATAAACGCACAGGGCAGTTTATATATCTATTGTCTCTTTATTTAAAAGAAGCTTTTTTTGCCATCTTCATCTTCTATACCAAGCTTTTAGTTATTTTGTATATTTAATGCTCAGAAGTAAAATCTATTACTCCTTTAGAATCTAATTCTTCTTTTTGCTTTCGGATAACTGATAGAATATTAAATCTTCAGTAAAGTCAGAAGCAGACGATACACCAATTAGTGCTGCAATTCTTTCTGAAAGTTGGAGAGCAGTGAGCAACATCAGGCACCGTCTCATGCTTGAACCTATAATTATTTGCTTGCCGTTACGAGTTACTCTAACACAATTTTTTTGCCAATCACTCATCGTGTAATCAGTATAATCAGCACCTGACTAACCAATAACCATGACCAAAGTAATCAAATAACACAAATGCTATATGAGTTTCTTGACAAAATTTTTAAATAGCAGCTGTTCTAATTCCGTTCATATTGAATGAAAATCCACCAAAAAAGACTATGGAAGCTTTTTTTTTTCCTTTGTAGCTCGCAATGTGCGCTATGTACTTACTGTCTTCATCAAGCTGTAATCCATGTTATTTTGGTATAGCAACCTGACTATCGTTTACTTGACACTCAAGTAACTGATTAGATCTGCAATTTCCTGCGGATTGAAAATATCTGCAAATGTCATATGCGCACCTTTTATATAGGCTTTTGAACTCTTTAAGAAGGCAAATAATTCTTCATATCTCCACTTTTGATTCTTTTCAAGCATTGCTTTTGATAATAATCTACCGTTGCTATTTCCCACCAAGTTGCAAATACACCAAGAAGAATAGCAGCATTTGCGGTTGCAGCAAACACTTGTTGATGACACAGAGATCATCATCAGTACTGCTGCTGCTGCTGCTATTACTTAAGTCTTTCCTTCCCTTTTTTTCGTTAATGTCATTGCGATAGTAGCAATCCTATAACTAAAACAGTTAGCAAAGCTGGAACCCACAATTCTACCTATTACTAAAATTGATAGAGGTGTAAAATTGAACCCTAACCCTGCAATAACCTAACCCTATTGCATTGTCCACTCCTACAACTTGCATCCCACTGAAATTCATAAGATTGATTGATCTATTTACTCATTAAGACCACACTTATAATTTCTTTTTCTCATTCAACCTCTCTAATGCTTTGCAAAAAATTTTATCATAGTATTTTTATGTTTAATTTGCAAGTTATTTACTGGAATTACGCCGTCCTTCAAAAAAATGGTAAATTGTAATTGTAGAACAAACTTAATTTTGGTAAAATAGTTTTGTTTATTTGCGAAATATGCTACTTGGTTATTGAAAAGCACAGCATAACAAATGCACTATGGAAGTTACAAGAAGTACATCAAAGGGACTGTCAAATCCTGATGCAAGGAAATATGTCTGATGCAAGAATTGTTGGATCTTCAATCGTTTTTTCTTTTATCTTATTTATAGCTGAGGACTTCAGTCGTATATTTATTCTCTTTTAAGATTCCGGTTGTAGAATCAATAGGAAGCGAGCCGGAATTTAAAATGTTTTATTCAGGAATAGGAGGAAATGCGCCATATCGCCACTTCATCTCATACTGTAAATGAGGAAAAAGTAGAGAGAGCTATGTAAAAGGAATAAAGTTAATGAAGTAGTGGTAGAGGTCATCATTATTGGCTATGATGGAATTGTCGTTGCAAATTCGAATGAAAGCCATAAATTTGATTTTACAAAGAAATATTTATTTGAAATTTTATCTACATATTCTCAAGAGAAAAAATAACAAGAAACTTTGATCTGATATAAATCAAACCTTACTAAAACAGGATTGAAATTTATGGTCCATATCAGAATGCAGGCACATGCGAAACTTTGGTTAATTTCGTTATTGATTGATCATTACTCATGCATGAAGTCAAGAATTTTTAATGAAAGTTACGAGGATTCAGAAGAAAAAAAGAAAGAAAGAAAACACATGCAGTAATATAAAAGATGGTGGGAGGTATATAGAAGTTGGAATTAATGAGAACATAGCAATACAAAAGTTGAAAAATAACAAGAATGCCTTAGGAATATTTAGTTTCAGCTTTTTAATAAGGAACCAAGATAAGATATGATACAAGGGAGTACGATTGCAGGAATTGAGCCAACTTATGAAAATATATCGTCAGGAAAATACATATTAGCAAGACCTCTATACGTTTACATAAAGAGAGAACACTTAAATACCGTTGATGGACTAAAAGAATTCATTAGAGAAGTTATAGATTCAATCAATACTGAAGGTGAATACCTATCTAAGCTCGGTCTGATTCCACTTTTGAATAAAGACGACATAAAAAAAGTTGTTGACATCCAATTGAGGATTCCTGACCGGTTTTAATGGAAGTTCAAGTGTTAACAACTGGATGATATATCGATTCGCTATTATTATTGCAATTAAAAAATGCTCATTGCAAAATGCATAAAAAAGAAGTGTATCTGAGCAGGCAAATTATTCACCATATCGAAATAATTAAAGATTGAAAATACAAGAACCATCAGTTGATCTCTCTCTTATTTCGAGCACAGTAAGTTTACCGCTGTCAGCTTCTTCAATAATATCACGTGAAATTGCACTTTAGGTAAGATTAGATATATCTCATATGCTGATCTGAGGCTAAAGAAGAAAAAAAAATAGGATTTAAAAAAAACAATTATCCCTCAAAATGGCAATTACTCTTCTCACGATATCGAAATAATTAAACTTGACCCATAATTAAATGAGATCCTTAATAACAGCTAAATAGCGCTTTAGCAAATTCTTTAATTAGTGAACTCTCTCAAGTCCTTTATACTCTCACCAATTCCTATAGCGTAACTTTATAAGTTTCTGCAAGTCCAATCACTACTCCTCCCTTAGCAGTACCATCTAGCTTTGTTATAATAATTAATCCTGTAACACTAACTAACCATTTTATTAAATGCCTCTAATTAGCTATAAGCATTTTGAGCGGTATTCGCATCAAGAACCAAAATAACATCATTAGGAGCAATGCCATCGTCGTTCTATATATCTTTGATAAGTCCTCCATAACATTAACATTACTTTGAAGACTGCCTGCTCTATCAGTCAATCAGAACAACATCTATGCTATCTTTTATAGCTTGACTTACAGCTCTATACACCACACTTGCAGAATCGTTTAACGTACTCTCCAGTAACAACAAAGCAATCAGAACGTCCTGTCCACATGTTTAACTGTTCACTACCAGCAGCCCTAGATGTGTCATACGTAACGAGCATGACGGATTTTCCCATATTCTTATATTTATATGCAAGCGTTACCTATAGCTGTGGTTTTACCATTACCGTTACCACTACACATACTACCATTATTATATGTGGTTTTTTGTCTAAAATTAGTGGTTGCACAACAGGGTTTAAAATATCGCTTTTATTTCGTTCAATAGCTGTTGGGAGATGATAATATTATGTTCAACTTCTTTATAAAATTTGATGCTTGCGAACCTATCAATTTGCAAGTTTTATGACCACTATCCATGCTAATGAACAATGTCAGAAAAAGTACTTTTCACTATACCACTATATAGGTTACTAAACAAACTCAAGGGAATACTCTTTTTAAGATTATAATATAAAGAATGATATGCACTACTTTACAAGTGTGAAGTTAAATACAACGTTTCACATGCATTTTTAAAGTAAAATGCATTTAATTTCTAATCTAAATATGTTGTAATATAAGATGGTGATTTCCAACTTAATATTATGAGTTATAATGAGATTTTCGACCATTATGAAAATCCAAAGAATGTTGGTTCTTTGGACAAAAATGATCCGAGTGTTGGCACTGGTTTGATTGGTGTACCATCATGCGGTAATGTGATAGAGTTGCAAATAAAAGTAAATGACAAAGATGTTATTGAAGTACTCCAAAGTGTATTTTTAAACTTTCTGTATTACTTAAATTGTCAAATGTCCACAAAATGATAGGTGCAGATCAAGTATAATGCAAATAAAAGTAATCAGCTAAGTTCAAAAAATATTTATTTTTAAATAGAATTTAATTGAAACAGAATTAAGAAAAACTAAAGCTCTTTTAATATTTAATTTAAAAACTTTAAAAAACTGTCGAAATTTTTTAAATATTTCCATATAGATTTGTGAATAAAATTGATTTTAATGTTTAAAAAATGATTAAAATCATTTATAATCGCAAATTTAATTAATTTCTGCATTGAAAGTTATCTTTGAAGTTAATTTTTAAAACGTTTTTTTTTTCCATAAAATGACAAAAATGGTCGATAAAATGTGAGCAGATCAACTGAGAGGCAAATAAAAGTAATCAATTTTTTGTATGCTAAACTAGGAAATAAGTACTAATAATATCAAATTTTATTTTCATTCAATGCTAATACTGTTTAAAAATATAACTTCATTAAAAAATTAGATATTTTCAACTTTATTGATTATTTTATATGAATTTTTTAGGGGATGGTCATGTTCGGTTTGGTCACTTCACAATAATAATAATGAAATAAAATTTAAAAAAAAACTTTATTATTAAAGTTTTAACAACATTTCAGTGGCGAAATAAATTTTTTTAAAAAAATTTTTTTAATTGGTCACAGCCCTAATTCATTTTTACAATAAAAATTAAAACTTTAAAAAAATTTAAATTTTGCATTTTTTGAAAATATTAAAATTTGTAAGATTTTTGCATGTTAAACTAGGAAATAAGTTCTAACAATGTCAAATTTTATTTTACTTAGGTGTTAAAATTATTTATGTATATTAATTCAGTAAAAAATAGATATTTTCAACTTTATTAATTATTTTATATGCATTTTTTGGGGGATGGTCATGTTCGGTTTGGTCACTTCACAGTAACAATAATGAAATAAAATTTAAAAAAAAACTTTAATATTAAGGTTTCAACAGTATTTTAGTAACGAAATTAATAAAATTTTTAATTGGTAACAGCCCCAATTTATTCTTGCAATTAAAACTGAAATTTTAAAAAAATTGAAATTTTGCATTTTTTGAAAATATACTGTGAAGTGACCAAACGGAACATGACCATCCCCCAAAAAATGCATATGAAATAATCAATAAAGTTGAAAATATCTGTTCTTTTTAATGAATTAATGTACATAAAAAATTTCAACACCTAAATAAAATTAAATTTCAATTAATCATGGTTTTAATTCATCTTAAGAAACAAAATTAAATTTTATTTCAAATTTAAATTTTGATTTTTTTAAAAATCTTAAAATTTATGCTAGTTTTTATACATTAAACAAGGAAATCGGTTCTAAATTATCAATTTTAATTTTAATTAAGTGCAAAAAACACTATAAATAGCAATTCATTCAAGAAGATATTCATTTTTTGAACCTAATTGATTATGTAATATGCATTACACCAGAGCTGGTCATGTATGGTCATTTTATAGTTTAAAAATTAAAATACGCTTTTGTAATTAAGTTTTGTTCAAAAATTCATCAGCAAAATTAATAAAACCTTCAATTAATAATGGTTTTAATTCAATTTAAGAATTAAAATTAAATTTTATTTCAAATTTAAATTTTGAATTTTTTAAAAGTTTTAAAATTTGTAATAGTTTTCGTACATTTAACAAGGAAGTTGGTTCTAAATTATCAATTTTAATTTTAATTAAGTACCAAAACTACTATAAATAGCAATATTTTGAACTTAATTGATTATGTTGTATGCATTGCACCAGGGCGGGTCATATATGGTGTGGTCATTTTATAGTTTAAATATTAAAATACGCTTTTGTAATTAAGTTTTGCGCAAAATTTCATCAACAAAATTAATAAAACTTTCAATTAATCATGGTTTAATCCAATTTAAGAAATGAAATTAAATTTTATTTCAAATTTAAATTTTGAATTTTTTAAAAATCTTAAAATTTGTGCTAGTTTTTATAGATTAAATAAGGAAATTGGTTCTAGATTATCAATTTTAATTTTAATTAAGTACTGAATCTGCTAGAAATAGCAATTAATTTAAAGAAAAATAGATATTTTAAATTGATTATGTTATATGCTTTGCACCAGAGCTGGTTATGTATGGTGTGGTCTGTTCAATCCTATGCTCGATATAAAATCATCATATTGTCAATGAAATCATTGATCTTTGAGATATAAAACATTTGAATAATAGCAATGTTTGCAGTGTGCGATAAAGATACATGTAAATGAGTAGTAATAATAGATGTAAGGAATGTAATAAATAAGATCAAAAATTTCATCATAACATATTATTAAGGATTGATAAAATTATTAGATTATTTTAGTCATATTAATAAATATTAATTCGGCTAAAGTAATGTAGAGAAGGCAAAAAATATAGCTGCTTAATTTGAGATGCATAAATGAAATTTAAATACTCACTAGTGCTACCAATAAAGATTTTATGCATTTAAGTTAATTAATAAACAATGAACAACCATGACAAATATTACAGCGACATTTTTCCACATTTTTCTACTGGTTTAAATTTGGATTAACCATTCTATAATGCCAAAAAATGAAATGATATTACAATAAAATTCGAGAAAATCTCCTGTAAAATTAATCTCGATAAAAGAAAAAATCAAAAATTATGACATTTCCAATTTCAATTTAAAAAGTCAAGAAAAAATTCCTATCCAATTAATTTCAACTTTTATCATTAAGATTTAAAATAAAATTTTCCGTGGATTTTGCACAAAAATCAGGAGGAAACATTTTTCATTGTTACCTTTTTCAAGTCTATCAGTACTTAAAATTTAATACTGAGTATTCTTTTAGTATTTCATTTCAACCATTAGTTATTTTAAAAAGTTGGGGAAATTAGTTAGAATACATTAAAAAATATTTAAATATTAAAATATTTATTTGAAATTTTTGTTGGTCCAATGATCAATATATAATTATATGTAAGTTCAAATCCCTTTGATAGAAATTGAAAAAGTTTTAATAGCAAAGTGAGAAAGAGCGAATTTGATATCTTTCTAAACTTATTAGTCTAATATCATTTCTAAAATTTAATTTTTGAAAATCAAAATTTTAGTTATTGTTATATTATGTTCAATTTTATATTAAATTTTTTCATGTTTAATGTGTTGAATGTAAAACTAATTTAGCTATACATTACCAAAGAAAATTGACTAATGTGAAAGTAATCGAAAAGTTTTGCTTCAAACGTTCCCGAAATATTTGCAAATCGTCAAGCTATGTAAAGCATCATAAAGGAGAAATTACGATGTACTGTAGCTTCGTTAGATGTGACAAGTGCATAGGTAGTTTCTCTCTTATAAGTTTTTAAGTTTTATTTTTTTTTTTTTTTTTATTTTTAAGTTTTACAAATCAAAATACCTACTTGGATATAATTTGTGATATTTTTTATCTTTTTGTCAATCACTCTATTTTTATACTTTTTTTTCAGCCCATTTTTTTTTGCATTTTTTTATCACTAAAATAGTCATAATGACAAAAAGATCTTAAATTTCAATATTTTAAGTTCTATCTGCTGCAATCATTATCACTTATGAATTTGTTCGGAATTCAACACACAAAAAGATGAAACAGAGCAAGCAATATTTTCACAAGTGGAAGTAGATGGATAATTAGTATTAAATGTCTTTTTAACTTGTATAATATTGAATAATCCTGTTTGTGTTTTTTAATTTAATATTGTACTAAATGATTTACATATTGCTGCAAAAATTTTCGATTATTTTCATTTAATTTCTTCATATAATAATTAAATCAATTATAATTCATAGGTATGATTTACTTTTTACTGATTAATCCATTTATTAATTAGAAGTATACTTATATGTTAAAAATAAACTACTAATATTTCATTGATTAGCCCAATGACTATGTCGTGTAATTTTTAATTATTATGATACTATTGTAAATTACGAGTTATAAAATTGAGGAATTATACTAATATTTTGAAGAAACAAATAGACATGGAATCATTGCTGCAAGTGATAAATTGTCTCAAACCTCTATAGTTTAATGATAATATAAAATAATTTATTTGAAAAAATTATCGTATCACCTTGAAAAACAAATTAATATTTAATTATGGTATTCATTAATTTTTATTGTTTCTGCCTCTTTTTTGCTAGAAAGAGTAAAAAAAAAATGGTTTTTTAAATCCATTTATTATTTTAATCATCTGCTTAGGAACTAATCGTCTATTCAAAATACCATCATAATTTATGTTATTCTTAAAACATATAATTCAGAGTTTGTATAAATGTTATGATGAACAAAAGTTTCAAAACATAGTCGTTAGTTTTTTAATGATTTTGATATAAATCACTTTTAATTATCAAATGAATTATTTACTGGGCAATGAATCATATTTATGAAATGTCATTGATTTTGTCATAATAATATGAAGAAATTAATTTAAAAAAAAAAAAAAAACGATGTGTTTCAAATTAATTTAAATTGCAAAAATTGTTTAGTTTTAATGAAATTTAAAAATTTTTTAAATAAAGATCTATTATCATTTTTGTGAGTAGAAACAAGATAATAGAGACATCTATTAACAGTACAAATAAAGTAGACATTTTGGTAGAGAAATATGAGATTTATTACAAACTTAGGTACTGCTTGAAAAGTAATTAATGCTCAATTATATCATTAGGAGATCAAAGTGTTTTCTGATTATTTTATAAAATTGTTGTCTAAAAAATAAAAATTTATGATGACTTAGAGCTTTCAAATTTTTTAAACTTCCCGCTGTTTTTATATGTGTTTCTCAAATTTTATTCGTGTTTATAAAATCTGACAACATTATGAATTTTGGTACCACTATTAAGCATAATTTGATTAAAACAACATTGGAAATGAAATAATTTGATGATTTCTTTTCAAAAAATTGTTAGGCTGACTAAATTTAATTATATGATGACATGTAAAGTCTTTAATTTATAATTTTATCCTTTAATAAATTAATCTTTGAATTTTTAATCTTCATAACAAAATTTGCTCTTTTATTTAATTCAATAAAAATCATACATATTATATCATGTGTAATTACAACAACAATAGCAGCAATCAACAAGACAAAAAATTTTCAATAAAATCTTTATAAAGTCAATCAAAAAACTTTTTTTTTGGAATTCTATTCAACATTGGTGATTGAACATCACGAAAATATTGAAATCGAAAGCTTTTAAGTCATGAAATAAATTTCAAATTATGCATCGAAACAAAAACAATTTCATTTCAAAAAAGATTTCTCGGAATGTTGACAAGTTCTGACTGCAGAATTCATTGCAAAATTCTATAATGGAGCTAAAATAACTTTTACAAATTAATTTATCTTTTCAACTATTTTTTTTTTTGCATTTTGAAATATTTGAAAATTTCAACTTTGGAAAATGTTATATTGTTATCATCTTTCAAACATAATGTTCGTTTTTTTATTGTTGATTCTAGTCATGTAAGACTAAATTTCAACAACCATCTAAGATTTCATTAACAAAAAGTTGC